TATCCCTCTAATTCCAAAGCTGTCAAGAACATCAATTAATTTTTTATGATCAACTGTGTCGAATGCTTTAGCTAAATCTAAAAATACACATAAAAACGCTTTATTTTATCGAGTTGATTAAAACTATTATTTGTTAAGTTTATTGCATGTTTTGTAGAAATTCCTTTTTTGAATCCAAATTGTTTGTCAGATATTAAATTATATTTTTCTAAGTATGTAACGAGTCTTTCCTTTAATACTTTTTCTATAATTTTTGACAGGTTTGAAATCAAAGATATAGGGCGATAGTTTGCCATTTCTTTTCTATCTCCTTTTTAGTATTAGGAATTAATAATGCCTATTTTAAAACATGATGGAAAATTAACAGTATACTATTAATAATAACAGTTAATGGTTCTTTTATATAGTCTTTTATTAATTTAAGCATTTCTGTTGTAATGTCATCATAGCCAGGAATTTTATTAGGTTTAAGTTCATTTACTGTACCTCAGAACCAGACGGACGTAAGTCCAAAAACTGCGATTTTCAGGTTAATAATGGTTTTTACGTAGACTTTCATTCTCCATCAGGCCATAACAAAGGATATGCTTTAAAGATTTATCATTTTTTATTAGGCACGGTTATAAGAGCGTAAGTCCTAACCCTTATTTGAGCTAAATGAACGTAAATTCACTTAATATCTAATGGTTCTGAAATTTTACCCAATAAACCCATTAACCATAAAAAGAAAAAGAGACGGCACAAGAAAAAGCAAAACCAAGAGCCATACATTTATTTTTAATTTAAATAATAAGGAAGAAGTCGTTTGCAAAACTTTTTTTTAAACATTTAGACATTTCTGAAACATTTATGAAAGTTGCTTTAAAAAAAGGCAGTGAGTCTGGTTTGATTACACCAGAAATTAAAGGAAAACATACCACAGTAAATAAATTGCCAAGTGAAAGATTAGAACGGATCAAAAACCATATTTCTAAGTTCCCAATTTATGAAAGCCACTACAGAAGAGAAAGATCCAAGCGCAGACATTTGGGGAATCACCTGAACATTTCCACAATGTACTCAGTGTATGTAGATGAGTGCCAACAAGAAAACATCAAACCAAAAAAAGTTTGTTTATTCTAAGGTTTTCAATGAACATTTTAACTTGTCTGCGAAAAACTGCACTGTGAAATTAAAAATGAAGAAACACTCATTGATCTTAAAATACATAAAAAAATATCTAAAAGATGCTTCACTTAGGTATGACTTAAAACGAGAGGATAAACTTGAAGCCCCTGCTAATCAAGGTTTCAGAGTCATTATGTCTGATCTCCAAAAATGTCTTCCAACGCCTGATTTGAAGAATTCCGAAAATTTTTACTCAAGAAAGCTTTGGACATTAAATAGTACAATTTATGACACAATCGTTAACAAAACTTGGTGTATGATGTGGGATGGGATAGTTCGTTACCTCCTCAACCGGCTGTAAGGTTGAGGAGGTAACGAACTAGCATCATGTTTATTCACTTGGGCGATGGAAGAACTTCGAAACCCTGATAGACCTACTGAGAAGTTAAGGAGGTCCTTTCGCTACACCTCTCGCCTCAAATGTTAAAAAAAAAGTTATTAGATTATGACTAAAATTAATTTTTTTCTAATAGTTGAAGTCCTTATTTATCTAATACTGAACTTTTAACTATACCTTACCTTCCAAATTTTTGAGTATTTTTTTTTTTAAATGTGAGTATTTGCACAGTGCCTCACGAGAAAGTAAGTCCTCAACAACAATTCTCGAATTATACTATTATTTATTGATTAAAGTAGAGTAGAAAAAAACTAAAAATAAGGTTTTTGAAATATTTAGATTTTGTTTTATACAAGAAGAAATTGATGCAATTTATTTTTTTTGCGATTGTATTTTGTTATGTGAAATAAAAATAGTAGGTAATTAAAGTATTTTAATTTATTTTGACCCATTTTTACTTTCAGTGAACGAAGAAAACATAAAACCAACACAATATATTTATATAAAATATACATGCGTACGATAACTTGTCATAAACCTGCTGGTTGACACTGAGGGATGTCGAAGAATGGCCAGTCTCTCAGGTCAAAGTCCTGCATGTTAATACCATGGCCGAATGGTGCCTTTAGCAGCCCCCATTTTTGTAAGTAGCAATTTAGTGAGCTCCTAGCACCCTGATGGTATATGCGCATGTGAAGCTATTTCAGAAGGCATGTCTATGCGTCCTCATCTAAAAACTCTTTAGATCATTCACCCGGACTATTTCTTGCTCTTACGATGCGACACAACTTGGTAGGGGACTTCAACGCTCGGTTAAACCGGATAACTCTCTATTCGATGAAACAGTTTAGTGAAAGAACGACCAAACATAATTCGTAAAAATATTTCTTAAAGTTAATTTATCCGGTGGTGTTTGATATCTGGTGGCGTAAATAGTTATTGCAGGTAAATCGATTTGCTAATAAAATATTAATAAAAAAACAAACGAACGATTTGCTAATAAACGGTTGGTATAACGGTTTATGAGTAATTGTTTTACGTCAAGGAGAGGTCAATGATTTTTATTGATTTGACTGAAGATATTGGTGCAAAAGGGGATAAAGTGACTATTTTTTTTATAAGACCATCGTTTGATGTAAGAAGGAAATAAATATGTTAATAAACAATGAAGTTATAATCATTTTTATCAATTTCCTGTTTAAATATTCGGAGCAATAATGAAATATATCAACTTTCTTGCAACATATAAACATTTTTAATAATTTTTACGTTTTTGTTTTATACAAACCTAACCTAGGTTTCATTTTATGCAAAAACAAGATCTACTATCTAAATATACGGTTATGTTTTTAGTTTGTCCGTCACGAACCTTTTGAAAACTTAACAGATCCCCTTGTATTTTACCAATGTCTTCAATTCTTGTTTTGTAATAGTTTTGGTGATAGATTGTTTATATTTTTTATCAGTATTTCTTAAACAATATGTATAGGGATTTGTGTAAAAGTAATTTCTCAGTTTATTAGATCTAATTTATAGTTACATTTCTTCTATTAAATTTATTATCATGAAAAATACTTTGGATAGCGATTGCAGAAAAATTGTATTTAATGCAATTTTTAAAATAGCAAAGGAGTTTCGGCATTAATCCATCTTCAGTGCTTAATGTCAAGCAAAAGAAATATTGGACAATAACAATTTAATAAATCACTATTTTAATTTATTTTATTAATTTAATTTGTTTAAAATTTAAAGTGTTTAACTTCATTTTTAATTAATCATAAGACAAGGTAATAATTTTGATTTGTCATTAATAAAAACTGAAGTAGTTTGTTAAAAAACGGTTAAAATAACGGTTCTTTATGCTTTTTTATTTTGAATCAGGAGAGGTCAACGAATTTTATTGATACAAGTCTAGTCTAGTGTACGAGAAGAAATATTCTTTTGTTTGTACATCATTGTCCTCTGGCTGAACGCGTCTCTGTGTCACAGTATACCTAAGTATACTGTGTCTGTGGCGCATTATGATGAGTGAGGCTAACACGAGTGAGACGATATGGCGAATGCATATAGCTAAAAAGAGAAGAAAACACGCTAACAGATCCTTCAAACTGTCAAAGACCACATTAATTGGCGCGCCGCTCACAAACAAGGTTGCCAAACCAGCGTTGCCAGTCTAAAACAATTCATAATTGAAGCGCTCGGGGCAACAAGGTGCATAAGCCACATTGGAACATTATTGAGAGGAACGACTAGAAAAATTCTAGTCAAATCTGTAAATCGGGTTTGTTTTGGGTCATAGGGTTTCAGTGAGTTGAGTTCTTCCCCGTAAATAAAACAAAATACAAAAAAGTTTATTATTTCTTATATCAAAATTAAACAACATTTTTTTAGATTTCACTAACTTAAAAAAATAAAATAAGTAGCTCTTAGCTCAACATAAATCTTATAAATTATTTGGTTACAATAAAAAAAATACTAGTACAGGTAATAGTATATTACATTACGAGTGTGGAAAATCACTTTTCACATAAGTGATGTACAATATTTTTCCTACGACCACAAAATAATGTCATCAAAAAATGTAAAACCAAGGTTATTAATACCATAATAATTAAACTGTATTTAAAAAAATAATCAACAATAATCGTATTTATTTAATTTTCATATTTTCTAAACTAAAAAAAAAAAAAAAAAAAAAAATTCTGCCTTGCCAGGATTTGAACGCGATCTCAAATGGCAAAGTTGATAAGTTCGACGTCCTAACCACCTGAGCTAATAGTCCTTGTGTCAATTGAATGATCTAATCGGTAATGTATTTAACCAGAATAAAGAGCAAACATTATTTTAATAATAATTGGTAAAGATAAATATCTAGGATCTAATTTACAACAATTTCAATAATTTAACAATCATAACGATTTTAGTATTAATATGGACATTACATAGATCAAAATAGAAATTAGGTGTTTGACATTTTGTGACAGCTACTGCGGAAAGTAACATATTCGTACACGGATGGAAAGTAAATTCTTATTTATATGCATGTGATATAGGGCATTTTCCATAGGACTATATAGTGTGATATGTGTCACTTTCCTAAGTGGTCGTAGGAAAAAAATATTAAGCAGCTTTCGCTAGTCTTCTTCTCCATCCACATCTTCCGCAATATTTTGATCTTCAGTTTCGTCAATGTGCTCTCCAACACACTGCTCGAAAATAGTAACATAAAAGTTTTGATTGATAGGTGGTATGTATTGCAAAAGTTTTTTTAAGTCTTCAACTTTCTTGCTGTTCAGTTTTACAGGTTCATTGTATTTGCAGTCTAAGTTGTCAAAAATATCGTCTGACTGAAAAACTAACCTATTTCCACGCTTTCCAACATTAACTTTTTGAAAATTTCCTTTTAGTTCATGTTTTATAAACATCGCATTTGGTTCACCCGATTCAAATTGGAAGCAGTGTGCTTTTGTGAAATTTACAGGCTCTTTATCTTCAGTTATGTTTTTTTTTTCACCATAGGAACTTTTTGAAACGATAGGAAATCTTTCTGTTCCATAACAATAACTTCAAATGGATTGGCCCTTTTACTTTTTCTAACGGCTTCGAACCAGTCCTCTGGGCAATACATTTGTCTTAAATACCTCTTGTGTTTTTCAATTTGGGCGAAATCCCTATCGCAAGGCAAATAGGTATGCCCTGATACCAAAAACCTATGTTCAATACTTTTGAATTTTTTTCCCTGACAAGTTGTAGCCATAGTGCCATAATTAGCCAGTGGACCAACTGTAAGACTAGGTGTTGGAAGAGTTTGCTGCAAGTCAAATGCAATAACTAATACTTTTTTATTGGTTTGTTTAACTGATTTTACTTCCTCTTTCATATTATTTGACATGGCTTCTGCTCTCCTATGATGTAACTCAAGCTCAAGTTTCAGTCTTTTGTCTTCTTCATTCTTGTTCGCAGTTCCTGTTTGAATAGCAATTTCCATTGTGTCACATGTTAGACACGTCTCGCTTTTTGGCAACTTGAAGCCTATGTTATATTCATTGCAAAATATTCTTCGATACTTGTCTTCTTTGACTTTGACTATTCTTGATAAAATGGTTTGCATGACTTTTAAATCCATAATCAACATTACATTTTGAAAAATATAGATAGTATGCAGAGAAAATAGAAAAAGAGGTTTTTTTTTTTGGAAGTTATTGAATACTTAAAATCAAGATAAAAGTAATAATACTCGAGTATGAATTTCTAATGCAGAAATTTTTTTATCAAGAATTTTTTTTTTAAATAAAAATTTTTTAGAACACACTGTGTAATGAATTGCGACGTGCTCGAAGAGCACGTCGTTAACAATGAAGTGTGTTCAGACATTGTTGTTAACGACGTGCTCTAAGAGCACATAGCAATCTATTATACAGTATGTTCGAAAAAAATTATACAAATGAGAAACAGTTTTATTTGAAAAAAAATATATTCTTGATAAAATATTCTTCATCTTCTGGAAATCTATAATCAACCATTACATTTTTTTAAATATAGAAGGTATACAAATAAAATAGAAATAAAGGTTAACCCATAATGCAGATAAAATATGGATCAATATATACAACACACATTATAACATTAATAATTAAATTTTGATTCAATTTCCTTGCAGTTTTTTATCTCAAATATTTACACTAAAATTTTGTAATTTATGTTAATAAGCCACTTCAGTTGTTGAGCAGTGTAACCTATATTGTCAACTGTGTTCAAAAGAAATTTTTATTTTTTGTTTTTCTGCTTCAATTTGATGCAAAGGCTCATTTTTATTCAAAAAACTGTTGATTTAGGATTATCACACAAATAAAATTTTTATTTAGATTGATGTTTCAAAAGATTTGGAGCCATCATCAGTTGAATTAACACAGACGTACTGTAACGGTTAGGTTTTTTTTAATGTAATTATTATGACTGTACTCTATAAATAAAATAAATCAACAGCTGTTATTCCTTTTTACTTCTTGCAGTTTTATATAAATAAAATATAAAATTCAGAGTGTCTTTAAATGGACTGCGTCACGAACCTACTCAAGGACAAGGTGATATAAATAATCAGAATGCAAATTTTTGCATTAAAACTAGAAAATGCAAAGATTTTAATCATTTTAATTTATGAGAGCGTTATAAATGAACTTGGATATAATCCATTAGCAATATTTATTATAATGTAAGTTTCATAAAAGAAAAATATTTATTATTTCATTACTCAAAACATATCATTTCAGTTGGTAAAAAAATTATTGAAAAATTTGTTGTTTCTATAGAATTCTGTAAAATATTAAAAAATACTCTAATTAAGAAACACGCTGTATATTTATGTTGTTGTCTTTTGTTTATAGGTATACAGATTTCACTCTATATATTTAAAATAATTATTTATTATTTATAATATGCAAAATATTTTAGTCAAATATTTGGAAGAAAATGAAAGATTTTGTATTTCACTTTATTAAAAAATTAAATATTTACTGTAGTAAACAGACGAAAAAAAAAAAAAATAACCAAGAACAAAATAAAAAAAAAACAAAATATTTTCGTGTAATTATTATAAGTAATCATTTTCATGTAAGTACTTTTATTTAATTGATAATTTTCAACATCCTCTCGGACTTTGATATAGAAGTAAGTCTTAGTCACGTCAATATAAGTACAAAATGAAATTGTTACATCACCAAATAACTTTCTACTATTACACCGTTTAATATCGTTTATAGAAAATAAAACACAATTATTATTTTAAACAGTAAATTACGACATTTTGAACACTCCCTTAATAATTGTAAGTAGTGGCAGAAAAAGCTATACTGGGTGTCACATCGGTTTTTGGTCAGATAATAAATTTTTAAAAAAATATGGTGCATATTAAATGAAAAAATCTTGTGTAAATTCAACTGATGATGGATCTAAATTTTTTGAAACATCAGGTAATTCAAATAAAAATTATACAGATTTTTGAATTAATAAAAATAAATGTGATAATTCTAGTTTAACAATAATTTTTTGGATAAAAACAAGTTCATGTATCAAATTGAAGCAGAAAAACAAAAAAAAATAATTTCATAACACAGTTGACAATCCAGATTACACTGCTTAACAAATGAAGTGAATATTTAATATACATGACAAATTTTTAATGTAAATATTTCAGTTAAAAAAAATTCAAAGAAAGTTTAATCAAAATTATTTGATTAATGTTATAATGTAATAAAAGTATTTGAAATATATTGATTCATGTTTTATTTGAAATATGGATCAATAACTATTTCTATGTTTCCTGTATACCATCTATATTTTACAAAATTTAATGTTTAAGATTTAGAATATTTTATCAATAATATTTTTTGTTATAGTATTTTTAATACAAATCCCGATGCACGTCAGAGATCATTTATGACGTCACGGCCTTGCAGTGTTGCCTAATCGTCAGAATAGTTGAGGAATTTAGAATTTTTTAAATTGTTATGTTACTAGTGGGAACAATTAGTGTTAAATGTATATAACTAATGGAAAATATTGAATTTCTTTATGAATAATAAACATCTGAACAAAAAAGCTTTAAACATATTATGCAAGTCATGGAAAATAAAACTGTAAGATAGTATATTGCAGATGGATCAAAATTGGTTTAGAATTAGCACAGAAAATATCTAAAACTAATTTAATTTCACCAAGAAAGTTATTTAACAGAACTACATTTAAGTTATAAACCACAACACCCCATAAAATTAAAGAGGTCATTGAAAAAATGAAAACTACAAAGGCATGTGGAGGATTCATAATATCAGTAGATACCTATACTTAAAGAATTAAAGTTTGAAATTGCTAAAATATTTGAATACAAGAAGGAAATTGTTAAAATATTTGAGTAGGTGCTTTAGTAAATCTCACTTTCAGTAACGGTTCTGTAGCTCAAGTATTCAAGATAGACAAAAATGCTTCAAAAATAAACGGATATCGCTACTTCTTTTCAACTCTAAAGTTATCGAAACATGTATGAACAATAGATTCATCACTTAAACATCAAGATTCTCCATTCTACCAGTTTCAAAAGACATTTGAAAAATGTTATTCTCAGTCAAATATTTTTTTTATATTTTGGAATAAATTAAATAAAAATACAGACATATAAGAAATATATCAAACTGTTTATTGTTTTAAAAATTAGACAATTTTTTTTTAAATACACTATTTTCTCATAAAAAAACAATTATTCATCTACTAATCTTCATTATTCCTTTTAAAATTCTTTTATTTCTCCTAATCGAGATCGCAAGTATTTGAATCGCCGTCATCGATATCGCTATTAGGGTTAATTATATTAAAAATAATTTCCAATCTATTAAAAACTCCCTCTCTGCCAATATGTTTATTATAATATTGCTTAGAAAGGTCACAAATAAGTTCAATGGGGTTAAAAATACAATGGCAGGGAAGATTACGTAATACTTTGTCTATATTGTTCTGCTTAGGTAATTATCTACCATATATTTCCTTGGCGGTTTGCACCTGAAAAAAGAATGTTTTATTTATTTCTATTTAGTTGCTATTTCGTAAAACGTGTGTCAATATCGCTATATTCTAAATTGTAATATCGAAACAACACATTATATCAATGATTTAATGTTAGGTACACCGTTATATCAAATCTTGTAACTTCATTTTTAATTTTTTGATATTGTTTTAAAGTTTATTTCTGAAAAAAAAGGCATTTTTGGGTTTCACTGTACATCTTGAAAATGTGTAAAACATGTAGATGATTATTGACCACTGTAGTCAAATTTTTGCAATTAAATTGTCTTTATATGATTGCTAGAATAGCGTATCTACCATTAAATCTTCAATATGATGTGTCATTTCAATATTAATAATTTTTTTTACTTGATTTACACAATTACTGATACCTTAATTTACTTCAAATTTGGTGTTTTATCTCTTGCCATCGATTTTTGTAGGTCTAACACCCTTTGTCATTATTTTCCCAGGAGCTGTTTAATGTTTCATTTTGAACGATACATGTTTCATCAATGACAACCACAGTGTATCCACTCTTACCGTCAAGGTCAATGCGTGTTAAGTTTCATATCCCCGCCGTCGTGAGGTCGCCACCGTCACCGTTTATAGGACACGCTTGTGCAGCGTTGCCAATAGCAATAATTTTACCCGATTTTTGGGTATTCCTAATTAACTCATGAACTTTTATGAATCGATTTAGAATTTATTAATGCAAGATTATAGCATTTTTGCCGTTTTTCATTTAGTAGTATCTACTATTGCTGAAAAGTCATGTTTTAAAATATTTTCATCGTCACTATTGCATTTATTGGTGACTTCAGGCGTTTGGGGTAAGTGATGAGAATTATCACCATTTGACCGTGACAACACTGCCTACTTTGTGTACTTGATACCTACATAACCACAAATATTTCTTATTTCTTTATTATTTTTATGAATTTTGTGAGTTATTTGTTTGTTTTTGAACTGATTGTTAAATAATAAAATGGAAATAAAACAGAAAGTCAATAGTGAAATGGAAATAAAGCACAAAATTAATACCACAGCATAAAGTTTATTTAATAGGCAGTGTCGCGATTAGTTTCGGCTTACATTGGTCAGTGACCACATACCACATGGAGGAAGGATTAATGTGACCACATTACATTTGAGATAATGGATAAACTTTCAGTCATGATTGTAAAGTGTAAGTGTTCCAGGTTGTTACATTATTTTAATGGTAAAATACGTCTTCTTGCTAACACAAGATACCTATAATATAAGAAATAATAAAAACCAGATAAAACTAAAAAAATTAAAACACTTGAATCCTTTTTATTTTATCTTAATATTTTGCATGTACCTATTATTTACCTTATTACCTTATTTTTAGCTATTTTTAGTTTTAGTTAAAATAATACCTGAAATTTACATTTTATAAATAAATCGTTATAAATATAATAAATGGTTTCATTTTATAAAAAAATGTAGCACCAAAATATGATTAAACCATTATAGTTACGTTTTGTTTGCTTATTGTAATAAAATCTCAACTTTAATGGCACACATAATAACCACGTTCAAAGCGTGCTTCCAAAAAATTATTCAGACATTCAAAAATTGCCGCCATCGTTTAGTTTAAACCCCCACCACTGTGAGGGCGCTGAAATCAGCTACGAAAATTATACATTGAGTGTACTGTCTATAAACAATATATAAAAGGTCTGTGATGACAACGAACTGCTTCTGTTGTAATTCTATAATTTCTTAAAAACTGACATATTAACAGTTCACGTCTTGGTTATCTTTTTTCCTTCATTCTTTTAATACAGTTGACAATGATGCAATATAGCCATTAAACATTTGTCTCTCAATCAACTTTTCTCTTAAAGGTTCCAAAGTTATATGTTGACCTGCAAATAAGTATGTATTTATATTACTGTATACAAATTAAAACTTTTATAGGTAATATAAATAAATTATGATTGAATAAATAGATTTGTCTGTATACTTACTTGTTTCATACATATTATAAATACCACTTCGGATTCCACTTGTATCCAGTGTTATTGTATTAGTAGGTAATCCTCTGTTTATGTGAATGCTTTTTAATTAGCGATTTTAATTGTTCATTATTCTTGACTGCTTGCCAAATACTACTGACAGTAGAAATATTTTTATTTAGAGATGCTGCAACACACTAAAAAAGACAAGAAAATAATTTCATATTTCTATTAAATTTTATAACTTGTAACTTACCTTTCTTACAGCAGTTAAAGGTAAACGTGGTCTATCATTATAACGCTCTCATTCAAAATAAAGGATTAAAGAAGCTATCAACTCCTTACAAGGACTATTTAGTTTTTTAGGCATTTTGTATATAAAAATTAAACGACAAATAATCAGCTTATTCACTCTATGGTTGTTTTGAAAAACAGTTTTTTATAAGTATAACTGGCAAAGCTTAAAAATACAGGCAAAAGGATTTTAAATTACAGAAAACAAAATGCACAATCAATAATTAACTCAACATAAACATAACCTAACTAAATCAGTGAAATTTTTTAAAAAGGGGTTGCAACACCGCAACAAGGTGTACCAATTGCTGTAATGACATTTCTTCTTTATAAATACGAGCTTCATGGGCGTACAGAATGTCAAAATTATTTAATGTAAAGTATTATTTTTTGAGTACTAAACATTTAATAATGTTTTTATAAATTTTATATTATCAAGAATTAGACATGTATAAACTAAATAATTTAAATAATTCTTAAAATTATCAAAATAATCACCATAACAGTTTTCGACTTTTTAGTAATATGACTACGTTCATGAATGCTCGTGACTATACGTGACTTTTTTGGAATATTAGCTTAGTTAGGGACATTTTAATTAGTTGGTAGTACTATGACGAATGACCGACGTCATTGCTGACGTGCAACGGGATTTGTATTAAAAATACTATATGTGTATTTTTTTTAACACACTATATAATAGATTGCGACGTGCTCATTATTGTTAACGACGTGCTCGAAAAGCACGTCGCAATCTATTATACAGTGTTATTTAAAAAGTGTTATATATATAAGAAAAAAAATTGTTTTTAAAAAACAATAATTATTATTGATCAAAAGTTTAATCAAAAATTATTATGATGTTTGATCTAAAATATATTGATCCAAGTTTTATTTACCCTATTAGTCAAACCTACTTTGACATTGTCTGTAAACCTTAATTAACAGTATCTACCCATATAATTAAACTATTTTTCTTTTTCAGTTATGACTCCAATTGCAATAGCACTTTTATTCGTTATATCTTCAACTGTCGCCCTTCCAGCTAGTAACGAACAATTAGACAAGGTAAAACAACATTGTTATAAAAATTATTCTAAATAAAAAACAAAAATTTAGATCTAAGGAAAATTTTATTGGGTATTTTTCAAATGGAAATACGATTAACAAATATTTGATAAATTTATTTGCCAAATTAGAAGTTTTCTATGAATACCTGTAATTGTGTAGTTCATCTATTTTTAAGAAGATGTCACTATAAAAACAATGTTGCCACTCTGTTTTAGAGATAATTTTAATAGGCGAATGACTGTTTAGAGGTACCAATTTTTGAAAAAGTGATATAGTTGTATGCCGTCTTTTATTGTTTCGTGATTTTCATATATATTTGTCTCGCTTCGTTCCAGATACAAAATTATCGATGTATGTTCCTTACGTATGAACAAGTATTGGCTACGTTGTCAGATGCACAATAATTATCGATTTATACGATAATTTTACAATTCTTTCTCAGACGAATTTAATTTTAAAGTGAATGAAATGCAGAAGAGAAAAGGAACTTTATTGCATCCCGATTTAATTTGAATCCGAATGACCTGGCATCACTGTATGGTACGCACGTAATATTTGCGGGACTTGCTTTCTTCTTCTGAATGTTATTTTATCTTTATAAGGAACTTTATTTCTGAGTTAACATGTTGACTGCTATGTGTATATACCCATGTGTATGTCCCATTAGTGCGTAATTGTTCAATATTTTAATTTGTGTTAAATACTCGCAAACATGTTTCAAAGAAAAGTGGAAAAACATGGATTTAGAAAATACATGTTTGAAAAATATTTTTGAATATTCAAGGTGTTACATTTTTGCCCGACATATGTCAGTTTAGAATGGTTTGGTAATACTGTATTCAAGTCTAGAATTAAAAAAAAATATATTACAGTTTTGTCAAGCATATTTGATTGTTTTCAGGTCGTCAAATAATTTTAATTGAATTTATTAATTTGCTATGTTATATACAGGGTGTGGCAAAACGCGATATTACGATTTTTTTAATTTTTTCAATGAAATTAACTGTATTAATTAATTGGTGGTATAACATACAGGGTATCACATTTAAAAAATTGAAAAAATCGTAATTTCGCATTTTGACACATTCTATATACAACATAGCAAATGAATGAAATTAAAATTATTGCTCGACGATGTAAAAACGATCAAATATGTATAGTCCAATCATTATAGTAAGTTCACCTCGGAATTCGAGATACCCAGCTGTAAGTCTGTAAATACTTGTATATTGACACCCTAAAAGTTGTCTCAAAACCTACATATGGTAGGGTGTACGCATCTATTAAATTTCAAGGTCAAAGGTCACAAAAATCGGTTTTTTGCGCTTTTTTTGTTAATATCTCATTTCCTATGGGTTTTTTGCTATTTGTATTTATTATCAATATTGTAGAATACAAAATTTTCTAAAAATTTTGTTTAAAAAAATTTTTCATACAGTGAACCGTTTTCGAGATAGATGACGGAGAGCGCGCGGTCACAGCATCACTTCAGGTCAACGGGTGCCTCCGGTCGAAAACGCGCCATTATAAATATTTGTCAATTTTTATTAACTATTATATTATATTTTATCATTTTTTTTCCTAACCTATCCACTTTTTATTTAGTATTAATTTATTTAACAACACTTACCTGCCCATGTAATTGCAAAATTGTTAATGAAAATATAGGAATTATATTTGAATTTTAACCTAATTAATATTAATAAATTCTTACATGATGAAAAAAAAAAACAAATAAATTATGAATTAATCTTTTTATTAAAAAATTTCATTCAATACATTTATTTTTATTAAAAGTAAAAAAATGGAATAAAAGGTACAAGAACTACAATTTATAATTTTAATAATCTTCTTCCTCTTCATCGCCGTCTTCCGGCTGCTGGTAAATTTCAAACTGGTCTTCATTATCGTCTTCAACGACATTTCTCTCAAGTTCTTCCATGATTTCGGATTCAAAGGTTCCATCTTCGTTAATATCGCTCTGATATGGTAGAGCATTGAGACAAGCTTGCCCATTACATTGGCCACAAGCTAAAGAGCATTGCAAGCCCGCTTTCCTGCATCCGCATCGCGAACCACAACCACTCTTGCAGTTGCAGAAAATTGTATTTAGCAAATCTTCTGGAGCAGGTGGTAAAATTGTCATGATAGGCTCCAGAAAATCGTTTCGCATTGCTTAACTCCATACCTGGGGTTCCAAATCATGCCTTAACCAAGTTTGAACTTAATAATATACACGTTTGAAAGGTTGATGAGCAGCTGCTTTTGTTGGTGGAATATTTGAAAGCTGCACAGGTTAATTAAGTTTTGTAGACTTGACGTAATGCATATAACGAAGATGATCGAGACTTTTCACAGATTTCGGAGCATTATAGACTGCCAATAAGATTTGAGTTCCACTCTCTAATAATCTCTGGGCCGAACAATTTTCTTTCTCAAATGCTGCAGCTAGTTCATTCAAATTTGTCAGTTTCTCAAAAACGTTAAAAAATGATTTTTTCCCTTTTTAAAAAGCGCAGAAGTTGTGTCACAGCCACTTAATGCGTGCAGAAATAAAATATGTGTTTGGGAATGAGGATAATTATCAAAACTTTTAGTCAAGTATATCCCTGTTTTTACATTTCCTTTCCCAACTTTTTTAAAGAAAATGTCTTGTTCGTAAGACAGTGTACGTCCAATTAAAATGACAAGTAAATCAATATCTTGTCCTATTATAACTGCAGTTTTTTCAGAATTTGATTCTTCAATTGCAGTTTCAACAATAAGAACATCAGCATTATCTCTGGCTTGTTTAGTAGTAATATTTGCAGCTTGTAATTTTTCAATTAACATATTAATGAGCATATCTTTGTTATTTCGATTTGATAAGAATTTTTCTTGAGTAACTGGTACAACTATTGTTTCATCTTCTCTGCTGCTCCATAGCTTTTACGTTCTTACTGTAATCTGAATTTTTTTAAACAAAATTTGTAGAGAATTTTGTATTCTACAATATTGATAATAAATACAAATAGCAAAAAACCCATAAAAAATGAGATATTTACAAAAAAAGCGCAAAAAACCGATTTTTGTGACATTTGACCTTGAAATTTAATAGTTGCGTACACCCTGCCATATGTAGGTTTTGAGATAACTTTTAGCGTGTCAATATACAAGTATTTACAGACTTACAGCTGGGTATCTCCAGTTCCGAGATTCTTACCTAATTTAAGCTTAAATGACTGGACTAGTATAGATACCTGCAGGGTGTTTTACTTTAAAAATGTATAGGTTTGGTCAGACAATCGTTTATGGATCACCCTGTATATTTATGAATAATTGTTAAATACAACTTTTATATTAATTTTTTTCGTATTTCCTATTATAAAATTGCTATCGATCAATTACGCACTCATGAGAAACCCTGTATATGTGTTATTGACTAACATATTGGTATCGTTAGATATGTTAATTTATAAGGAATTGTATCCTTAAATAATATACAGGGTGTGGCATTTGAAAAAATTTAATAAATTTAACTTGAAATTAATAATAATAATATATAATAATAATACTCTCCCTAATTCACCCCCTTACGAGTGAATTTCAACCCCTGAAGTCGACTGAACGACTTGTGTAGGGGAAGGGACGGCTATTATTATTATTATTTGCCGTGGCGCTCCATGGCGACTTAAGGAGGATGATTGATAGTGCCATTTGACTTACAGGTGAGGAGATCCCGGAAAACCTCACCCACCATCATTAGTCATATATAAGACTTGTTTTTCAAAATACTCTGTATAAAATATTCAAGTTCTATCACCACTATTCGTTAGCTTAGTATTTTATTACTAGATTTAAAAAAAATTGAAATCATTGTGAACCTACCTAAATTATGATAATTTATTTTGGGGTCTGCATCATTCTCGAATTTCATAAAAAAATTAATTTATTGGCAACTCTGCAAAATTTGTTAATAATATTCTAGGATTAAATACAGTATTACCAAAGCATTCTAAAACTAAAGTTAAATATAGGGTTTTCTATTTAAAAAATAAACCTTTTTATTTGTAAGAGAAAAACGCAAAACCCTGTATGTCTAAAAATGTCTTTAAAATACCTATTTTTAAAATTCATATAACTTTTATTTAGAAATTGTTTACGTGTCTATAACACAAATTGAAATATTGAACAATTACGCACTAGGGGACAACCTGTATATATTATTCACAATGTATGCATGCGCCATATGTTTGTAATAATTTAATCCGGCGCCGCGTGGTGTATATATTTTATTCACGCTTCTATTAGATATTATAGTTTATCTAATTATTTACTTAAACTAGTTTACTCTTAAAACGTAATAACACACTTAAATTTTTAACAAAAGTACTTCGGCTCAGCAAACCTGACCACAACATTTGCTTCGGCAGTCAACGTGTTTTAAATGCTTTTTTATTCATTTGTTGTTTAAGGTTGGTCAAAAAATATTATTTTGCTCAAGATAAAATACTGTGATGTTTGTTTATCTTAAACAACAGTTTATTTATTAATAATTTATTTAAACACTTATTTATTTTATAACACTACTATTATATTTTATATATATTTTGAATATCTTTGAATCGTTCACTATTTATATTCACCACAGTCTATCTACTAGTGACTTCCGCTTGAACCTCCACCAATATTTATTTACAAATTTAAAAGTATGGCGAAGGTCCTAGAATGTTCACCAATTATCCCGTTCTTTCTCGAATAGTCATCGAAAGCTCCTCCGCCATACTCGTCACATATGTTTGGTCTTAAGGAATTTAATTATGTATGATAATAGGACAAGTTGAGCCTCAAAGGCCAAATAAGACAGAGAGGGACTTGGAGGATTAGAGTATGACTGAATAATGAAATGGCTCACAATACAATACCTTTATTTTTGACTGATAAAATTTGATATCAGATGATTGAATTTTAGGTTTTAGACCATGCATAACTTTTTATGTAAAGTGACTTTTTTTCTA